GCCCACTCCATGCCTGCACACCTCTTCTTCCAGGTGAGCTGGCTGCAGCCCTGGAGCTGCAGCGGCCGGTTGGGCTCATGGGTTCATGCAGGAGCGGTCTGCAAGGCAAGCCAGGAGAGAGCAGGCTGCCTGCCCGGCTTCCCTGCAACGCCTCTGGGCGGCACAAAGGCCCACACTGCGCCCTGGCCCGCAGCGTAAGGCTGTGCTCACTGCATCTCCACATGGGGACTTGGGTGCTGTGACTCAGGTGGAAGGGGATGTGTGGGGGCTTGGGGGCCCAGGTGCTGCCCAGGGCCCAGAGGTCAGCTGGGTCCTGCCCTTCCATGCCAGATACTTGTTCTTCAATCCTCGGCCAGGCCTAGGGATGGCACCTGTGCATTAATTTTGTGCACCGGGCCTCTAGTAATAAATAATGATGTAATAAATAATAGCCTTGTTATAAGATCTTTGTGTATCTCCATACATGCTTGAGTAGATTCCAGCAACTGGTATTTGCATCAAAAGGCATGTACACTTCTAAGACATTTGATATCTCTTGCCAAATTCATCTCCAAAAGAGTTGTAGATTATACCATTTAATTTTCTCACAGTAGTTTCTAAGGAATGTCCATTTTTCTTCACCTTTGATATATCATTTTATCTATTCATTTAATGAAATATCTTGTAGTTTGAATTTATTTTTTTTAAATCAATCTTTATTGTTCATATTATTACAAAGGTTCCTCATTTCTTCCCCCCTCCACCAGGTTCCCACCCCACCCTCCGCCCCCTCCCCAGTCCCCATTGTCCTCATCCATAGGAGCAGAGTTTATGTTCAGTCTCTTCCCGCATCCACCACTCCCCCTTTCCCCCAAGAACTGTCAGTCCACTACCCTCCTGTATCTCTGACTTTACTACAATCAACAGCTAATATTGTTCATCAAGTTTTTCAATCTCCTTTTGCTGTTGTTGTTGTTTTTTTAATTAATAAACTTTTACACTTCTAAGAATAAATTTTAAAATCTAATAATTTTAAACCTTGTTTTTTCTGCCCTGGGAATTGAGAAGCAAACTTGTTTACATGTAAACTTGCCCTTAGGCTATCAAAAGGTGTAGCCATTCAAATGAACACATTGTATAAAGATAGCTGCTGGTTGGAATTGGATTACCTGTTCTGGGTGGGAAGGCCTTGTCCTCCCCTTTCTCCATTAAAATTAAGGTGTTAGTTTTTTTTTTTTTTTTTTTTAATATATACTTTATTGATTTTGTACAGAGAGAAAGGGAGAGAGATAGAAAGCTAGAAACATCGATGAGAGAGTCATCGATCAGCTGCCTCCTGCACACCCCCTACTGGGGATATGCCCGCAACCAAGGTACATGCCCTTGACCGGAATCGAACCCGGGTCCCTTCAGTCCCCAAGCCGACGCTCTACCCATTGAGCCAAACCGGTCTGGCAAGGTGTTAGCTTTAAAACCTCTTTTTGGCAAGAGACCTTAAACTTTCAGAACTTTAAATTTTTCAGATAGTACATCAGTTACTTAGCATTTTCTCAAATCAATAATACCTCCACATGCCCAAGGATACACTTCACACAAAAGACATTTCCAAATAGATCAACCAACCTCATCCAGACCCCACACAAGACACTCACAGATCAACACCCAAGTGCTATACTAACTCAACACATCCAGATCTAAGCCTTCATCACTTGATTCAGCAGACCCTCAAGTTCCCCCAAAAGTTTCCAGCCATGTCTGAGAGGCAGCGCTGGGGCGTGGGCAGGTGAGGAGCGAGCTGTTCCGGGCCTGGCTGCTTCAGGCCTGGCCTCTGTTGCTCTGGTCCACTCCACAACCAGCTGCTCCGGGTCTGGCCACTGCTGCTCCCAGCCTGGCT